AAAATTAATTTACGAAGAAAACTCAAGTGAGTGGACCTTTTAGTCATGTGATCATTTTATTGCAGCCTATGTAAGTGAACTGCTGCATCTCAGTGGAACAACAAATGAGAATTATAGCAGTGAATCTTAATTTGCAGTTATGTTATGTTATGAAAAAACAGTTATGTTAGAAGACATAATAATAATAATGTGGCATGCGCCCGCTCCCCGTGCTGCAGAGCGCAAAGCCCGAGCTTCGCCGAGGGACGCGAGTAACGGCGGGAGGAGGAGGACGACGGTGCCGTGGCGAGGGGCACCAGGGCAAGGAGCGAGTCCCGAGCTCCGCCGCCCGGGCCCCGCCCCTGTTCGACTCTCGGGAGCTGGGGGCAAGCTGGGGGCGTTGACGAGGAGGCGGAGCAGCGAGCTCTCGTTGCCTCTCGGCTCGGGTGCTTTTAAAAAGAGCAGAGAGGGAACAGAGAGAGGGGGACGAGCAGCAGCAACAGAGACTGGCTGAAGAGCTGGTTGGTTTTGTTGAGTTTATTTTGTGTGAGTTTGAAGCAAATATTAAAGGAATGGCTGCTGCAAAAGTTTTTCCTGCCTCCAGCGTCCTCCTTGAGCCCGGGTTAGCGCATGGCGTGCTACAAATAATTATTAATATTATTATGATTATAGTCTTTAACAACCTAGTTTGTTTCATACACAATTAACATTATTACACATCTCAGGCGCCGCTGTCTTGCTGAAGTACTTACGGCTTGGCAGCTCGTACTGTGGATTCAAGGTCTGTATTGCCGCCTTTGATGACGATCAGTTTTCTGCATAGACGGCATGTAACACTTAACATCTAACGGTTCTCCATGTTCATTTGGAAACCAAAATATTGCCAAACGGGCGCGGTAACACCCTTCTTCTGTACAAGCTCATCCATTTTTCACCGTCAAGGGAGAAGGTCATATGTAGCGGAGTGTTTCATTTGCATATACCCAGCATTCTTTGCCAGACTGAAACACTACATTCTGATCTTTTCAAGTGGGGTTTTAAAACGTGTATTTGTAGTTAATTAGTTATGTTTGCGTGGTCTATACTTAAATGCCATCTTTGCTGTTATAGCTTAGGTCTAAAATTTTAACCTACCATAGATTAGAATGCTTGTACAAAGTCAATCATTAAATACAAAGAACGGCAAATCACATGGCAAGGGTACATGATAAAAAATAAAATGGTAATTTACTTTCTATCATCACTGGTTGAAATTATCACGATATTCCATAACATCGTTTACTGCCCCAAGGTTACTGTGGGAATTCGCATTTTCTAAGGTTTAGGGTCAGACTGGATGCTTTTGAGAAAAGACCAATCTTATCAATGGCTGTTGAAACTGTGTTACTGTTTTTTTTTAAAAAAACAGTACTGTATTGTCAGCAAGTTGACTAATTATAAATTTCTTCCCCAGTATTTCAATACCTTGAATGTCAGGTGAGTTTTTAAAGAAAATTGCCATCTATTCTGCAACTAAGATGAATAATAGAGGGCTGATTGGGCATCCTTGTCATATACCCCATTTAATTAAGAATCTCTTAGAAAAACCATGACTGAGAGATGCACAACTGTTAATATCATTATAAAATATTTGAATAACCTTACTAAAACTTGAACCAAATATGTATCCCTTTGATAAAAATGAAGTGTTTTTCTTCAGTTTTTTTGCTTATCCTTTTCTTGAGTCTGTTGGCATAAATGTGTGCTAAAAGCTCTTAACTGCTACAAAGGAGTGTAATAGGCCTTCAGTTTTTCAAGGGAAATTTATCTTCGTTCAGTTTTAATATAAGCGTGATTATACCTTGTTTGTAGTTAGTGAAAATGAATTATTATTTGTTCCTCAATCACTTATGTTAAGAAAAAGAATTTCAAAAGAAGAGAATTTGTTGCCTTCTGGTTCATGCCTAAGCTTTTAGCATGCTATGCCTCCACCCCCGCTGCTTAAATAATTGTATAATTGTAGCCTGTGGGGGTAGCTTCATTTAGAGCAAAGTATTCATCAGTCTACCAAGAGGACCCAATGTTCTTCTCTCTGAACTCTGTCTAGGAGAGCTAAAATCAAAGGTAGTGGGGGAAATACATACAGAAGCTCCTTCGACCAGGGCGTCTTGTCCCAGTGGACCGTCATGGTCCCATTCTGAGAACCACGGCCGACAGTGAGTCGTGTCTGACGAAGCGAACAGGTCCATGTGCACTTGCCTGTATTTACCCTAGATCATGCTTTCCATGTTTTGGTGAAGTCTTCAGTGGCCTGGGCTCAGCGTGTCCTGTGAGGTTCCTGACCAGTGGCCGTTAACCAGCACTTCACAGAGGTGGTCTAACCCATTACACGAAGGGCATAAGTTGTGGCCATCCTAAGGGTCCAGTATGGCAGGACACTGTGTGCAGCACAGCTCTTTCCCCAACACCGAGCTAGTTCAGGGTGAGGGGAGAACTGCAGTCCTTGGCAATCCACTGAGATGCTCAGGTGTGGTTGGACAAGGAGTCAATGACAACAGCCTGTAGAGGATGAAGATAGTCTCGATGCTTTGACAGTATGAATTGATGTCAAAGGGCAGTATGGTTGGTCTAATAGTGAGAAGAGACAGGAGAAAGCATGCAGGGAGTCATGGAATGATACAGCCTCAGTGACATGACGTGCAGGGGTCACATGGTGGCTCATTTTGTATAAATTCCTTAGTTTGAGTCTGCAACTGCAGGGAAAAATCCATGCAGTAAGTTCCACTCATGAAGAAAAATGAAATGTAATAATAATTTGCCTAATATTGGTACATGTTTAAATTATTTTGATATTTGATAATACCAATTATTTGCCTTAGGCCACCACTAAATGCCTTCTGTTGTAAGTGTGTTGTAAATGAAGGGGCCAGCAATTTTTAATTCCTAACACTTTTTGGTGAAATTTTCCTCACATGCTGGTAGCTACCCATATGTCATATTCTAAGAGGAAACAAGTTCAGTCTCTGTCAGGATTAATATATGAATATAATAAATATTTTAATTATCAATTAATCGGCTTAACTGATGGTTTTGCTACTTCAGAATCCACAGTCACACGAGCATGTTTTTTATTTTTTTCTGGTGGTCAGAAGTTAAGTTGTGCTTCTGTGGAGAGCTAAGTCAGACTTGCAGATGTTGCGTGTGACTACTTTGTACTTAATTGTTCACATCTGAGACTTGTAACAATATAATACTAGTTGCTAACTAAGTGCTTTATCTGCAGGGATCTATGTAGATTTGTCCATTTTCTGCTGTTTTTAATATCTTTTAAATGACCACTAAAGGTTAACTAGTTGTATTCAATGTTAAAAGCAAATAAAACATTTAAGACTTCTAAATGTAGTGCTCTGTGGTTTTGATTTAGTTCTTGCAGTTCTTTGTATTGCCCAAAGATGTCAGTTCAAGAGCTAAACTGTTTCTGCTTTATGTGTGTTATATTATATATTAGTAATTAATTTTTTTTGTTTGAAAATTCTTCTGGTTTCTGATAAACCTTCAGCTAATTATCAAGACATGGGCCTGAAGTACATTTTATTGTGAATAGAGGCAGTCATTTGTTTATTTGTCCAGTAGATGATGCTGTAATTCCAGTTTGGTGCATTTAGTTGGTACATTATGAATTTATGGATAACCATAAACATGCTTTGGCTTGTAAAAGGTCAGAGGCTCTATAAGAGATGAATGAGATGTAAACACTTTTGAATGATAGTCCATAAATAATGCAGGAGCTTCCGAAATTACCATCCTCAACTATATCTTGTTTTATTTATTTTTTTATATGATCTTAAAAATTGAAGGGTAGATATATTTCAAGTGTTTTTTTGTTTTTTTTTTTCAAATTGTGATTTTGAAAGTCTTTAATTACAGCCCCAGTGTTACAGTACTACTAAGATGGCAAGAGCAATCTGTTAGCATTTAGGCAGAGTCTGTGTATATTCTGTGCTTTGGATTATTCCTTTTTTGTTTTGTTTGTTTTGTTTTGAAGTCTGTAATCTCATTATTAAAGAGGAAATCTAGCTATTCTTGAAAATTTCTGCATAATGAAATTGTTAAGTTGTAAACAATGTCATTGAGAGTGGTTTGATGTGAAATGCTCTGCTCAATAGACATGTACTGAGCCAGAATTGTATTAAATTTCGTGTGTACCTAAAGGGGCAGTAGAAATACTGACAGGCATTTTAGCAATCTAGTATACTGGCTGCAAAAGCTACCTCACAGAAAATTATTGCATGAATTGGTTATGAATATGCTGCCTGATGCCTGAGACATTGTTTTATTATAGTTTTAAGAAGGCTTTAGCGTAAAACATTTTTTTAATGAAATCCTGAGAGGTACATGCAGGTCATTGTAAGGCAAAGTAGTACCCAAAGAAAACATTTTAATTTTTTAAAATTTTACCATCATCAGCATTACATGTTAAATATTCAGAAGACATGTGTAGGTTCACTGGTGGTTTTGGATAGTCAATTAAATGGCTGTATTTGTGCAGACATCACAACCCTTGGTTTGTATCCCATCCATTGTAAAGAAATCCAAGATGGTTTTTCAACGATGCACCATTTCGCATCAGACCCCTGTTAATGACTTTATTTACTTCTCGATGACTGCATTACACAGAAATTGAATTTTTTTTTAAAAGAAACTTGCTTTCTTTTTACTCTGAAGAAAAGCTCTGAAGTCAGCAGCATGCCTAATCATCATAGCTTTACATGTCGAAAAATTAACAAATTGTTTCATGTATTATTCATTACTTAGAATTTTCTGTTTATGTGCTGTTATCTTAATTACTCAAAGCACTTTTTTCAGATGGTCTATGAAGTCATTTCACAATGTGAGAAATGGTGATCTTGGACAAAGGAAACCATTTTAGCTAGTCTTAAAATGTTTTTGAATGTAAAGCTGTGCAGCTTTTTAATGTGAAAATTGTTTTTGTGTTTTTTGTGCATGTTGCTGTAGTTAATATGTGTTTGTGTTGTTGCTAGAGCGTTTTGAACCTGCTGAGAGTGAAGACAGCAAGTGGAGTCTACTGCCAGAGGAGGTAGTAGTCATGCTGTGTTGGGGAAATGCCTCCTACGGCCAGCTTGGATTGGGCGGGATTGATGAAGAGATTGTTGTAGAACCACGAAGATGTGAATTCTTTAATGGGAAGGTGTTGCGTGATGTGGGATGTGGGAGGAGACACACAGTCTTTCTGCTTGGAGATGGTACAGTGTATACATGTGGCTGCAATGATCTGGGACAGCTGGGCCATGAGAAGGCACGCAAGAAACCAGGTAGAGCAAAAACATTCTATTCATGTACTTATAAGTTAGTATAACGAAAAACAAATTCATGCATGTGGTATCAAATCTTTTAACTTCATGCAAATAAGCTCATCAGTCAACTTAACATTTGAGTAGAACATTAGTGCCTAAAATGTAAAAGATACAAAACTCTCAGTTGACTGTAAAATGTGTTTGAGTTGTCAAAGTTATGCTTGAAAGTAGATCAAGACCAAGACAATTCCAGTCTGTTTAATAGCGCTAAACTTTGATTGATAAGTTTAAACTTGATGATAAGACATGTCAACCTGAAATCAAAATTGACCTTTTTTCCATGTTGCTTGTCCCTGGTCATATTAAGCATAATATATCATTTGAAATATGAGATAAAAGGTAACCAGAGTGTAGTGAATGTATTGTATTCTGAGTTTTGATTGTCATCATGCACCAGCGGATGGAGATGCTGGTGTGCATAAATTAATGAATAGCCTAAATAAAGTAGAACAATCACTGAATCATATATACAAACAATATAAAATGATAACAGTAAAACAGTTAAAATTAATGAAGTCATTCTAAACAGTTGCTAAACAACCAGTCACGTGAACAACACGCAAATTCTCGTAGCTTAAAGAGATGGTGGAGACTTCAGTCTGACGGCAACGGCAGCTGAGCCAAGCAAAACACCAAAAATAACCATTCTGTGGTTTAATTTGTGCTTTGTGTTTACTGGGAATAAAAGGCGTATGGTGAAGTTACTCACAGTAAGCCTGATGACCATGACTACCATGTCATTTCAGCAGAGGATAATATATTTATTAATAGACTATATCAAATATTGGATGTTAGTTTGCCTTGACGGAACTGCATGGGTGGGCGTGAGACAAATTATTTAGATTGTCTGCTAGAGCGGGCGGGAGTGGGATGAAATCTTGCAGGAGTGGATGGGAGTGGGTCTGAAAAAAGTCCCACGCAGACCTCTAGTGTGTAGCATGTTCTCTATAGAGGATGCATACCTATTTTTTACTATTTTCACTTTTTCACAGAAAATCAACAAAACATGTCATTTGACCAGGGCTACTCAAACTTTTGTACACAACTGTATCTATAATAATGCATTGTCATGGTTTTATTAAATACTAATGTAAAAATCATTTGTATGTCTTGAACCTGTCTTTTACAGAGCAAGTTGTAGCACTTGATGCTCAGAACATTGTAGCGGTGTCTTGCGGTGAGGCCCATACTCTTGCCCTAAATGACAAAGGACAGGTGTTTGCATGGGGTCAGGCATCTGATGGACAGCTTGGCCTTGGTAACATAGAAGAATGCATTCGTGTGCCCAGGTGAAGCTACTTCCAAGAAAACACTGACCTGAAACTGTCAACTTCACTTGTCACAAATTCTGCAAACGGTTTTGCTTATTCCATGGTTTATCAGTTATTAATGTAAACTAGCATTTACTAATCAAAATGTAAAAAGGGAAAAACATATAAATGTAAATATATGAATTTATATCTGTAGTGTATTTCAGAATCATGCAAGATTTTGATTGCATACAAGGCTGCTAGTGTGCATAAAATGATAGTAAACAAAAATCACAGCAAAGATGTAGCCAAAGTTGGTACAGTAGTAGATTTGAGAAAATCATGGTGTTGACCTTTGTGTCAACTGAAAAGTTACCACTTCACACCCAAAGATTTCAGTGGACTTTGTTGAACGCCTCTCTTCCTCTAGTTAATGAATTATGACCAAAAAACATAGTTCACATGATCCAGCGTCAGAAGTAAATTAGTGGTAATGTCCAATACTGTTTAAGAATGGTCTTGTTACATTCCAGCTCTTCAAATTAGCACTTTATTGTGGGAGGTTTATTGATTCTGATTGCAAAATTAGGAGTAGCAAATTGTTTCACAGGAAACAACCCAAAGTTTCAGGACAAAATTACACCCTGAGGCTGGCAGTTGCAACAATGCTGTTCAAACAGAGTATATGAAAATTTGGGTACATATTTATAGAAAAGATTTTGAGTGATAGACTTCTATTACACTCTTAAAACTAAAAGGTTCCGAAATGGGTACTTGAGAGCCGTATAATAGAAGAATCACTTTTGGTTCCCTAAAGCATCTTTCAATGCATGGTTCTTTAAAGAATCATTTTACTAAAAGTGTGAAAAAGGTTTTTGAAGTTTAAAAAACTTCTACATAATGTAAACGTTTTGAACCAATTAAAAGTTTTTCCTAGAATTGTACATCAATGTTATTAACCACTTTGGACTTATTAGAAGTGTACTTGTTACCTACCAAGCTCCAGTGCTAAAAAGGAGCCAAATCTGGGTACTGAGCATGTCTCTCCTGGTTGACTTCATTTAGTATAAAAAGAAACTTGTGCAAATGATATTGTTTTGCCAAATCACTGTTTTAAAATGCTAATATAAATGAATTATCCCAGAAACATCAAGAGTCTGTCTGAGGTCCATATTGTTCAGGTCACCTGTGGATATCTGCATTCTCTTGCTCTTTCTAAAAGTAAGTATGCTCAGTTACTGTTTTTAGGGTTTTAGCATCCTCTAAATGGACATTTAAGACTGTTACTCTTTCAACTACTGATGTATAGCCTCATCATAATGTTTTTTTCCCTGACCAGGAGGACAGATCTTTTCCTGGGGACAAAATAAATATGGGCAGCTAGGACTGGGATTAGAGGGACCTGGTGTCTCGACCCCACAAGTCATCCAGTCTTTACTGGGCATCCCATTTGCCCAAATCTCTGCAGGTGGTGCCCACAGTTTCGGGCTCACTCTGTCAGGAGCCGTTTTCGGTTGGGGGCGAAACAAGTTTGGCCAGCTGGGCTTAAATGATAACAAAGGTAAGTTAGATAGGCAGTTGATTTAATGAAATTATAATGATCAGTAATCTTGGCAGCTCTGAAAATTTAGTGCATGTTCTTGTGTAGATCGATGTTTTCCTTCCTTGCTGAAGACACTCAGGTCTCAAAGGGTTGTTTACATATGTTGTGGGGAGGATCACACTGCAGCACTAACAAAGGTAAACATCAATACTAATGTTTGAATAAATCAGTAAATGTTATTTGAAAATAGTGATGAAACTCCAAATGCCTATTAAAAACTTCATCAGTCATTATTAACATAACATTATTAACACAAAATTTGTGTTTGTAGATAGATAACACCATGATTATGTATGAGTATGAAGTAAATTTTAATTAAGACTTACCTGGTTGGATGGATGTTGGTCAGTAGAATGAGGATGCTGACAGACTAAAGCAACACCAAGAGGTATAAATAGAAATAAATATCATACCAATATCAGATTTATCAAAAATGATTGATTTTATACTGCCATTGAGTCAGCTAATTAATATGATTATCTCAGTTACCTTAGTTTTGAAATTCTTTGTCAAACCTGCATTTGACATTCACTTCTTAAAGGTCCTATATCATGAAAGAGGGTACTGTAGCCTTAGTTAGAGTGAGTCTGACATAAACTTTTGTTATGTGCAACATAATTCAGTAAGTAGAACAAAGCAAGATGTGCCATTACGGCTATGATTGTATCAATGTTCGAATATCACCCATTTTTTTTTTGCTATTATTTTCAATTTTACTAGATTGGTACCTGATATGGCCTTTAAAGTCTGTCAGTTCAAGCGTGACTCGTTATGATCCCTGAGATGCCCCTATAGTTGTATGTAAAAGTTTAGGAGCCCTGGTCAAATTACATGCTTTGTTGATTTTCTAAGTGAAAATCAGTTAACACATTATCTACAGAAAACACACTTCTTCACATTTTAATGTATACTTAGTGTTTTTTTTCTTAATTTAACATATTGTAAAAGTAAGAAAAATGTAACAAATAAAAAATGACTGCGTTCCATCCTGGAGGCAGCTGCCTAACTAATCACTGCTTTTATAGGAACCTTTCTTGTTGGGCAGCATTTTAATCAGAAAGGAACCTTACCAGGCATCGCATTTGGGACAATGCTTCAAAAACATCATACGTCATAAGTTTCACTGCGGTGTACACGTTTTATCTGTTTACTCGCAGTCGCTGGTTAGCTTACACTAACCTCAGTGAATAAGGCCCGAAACATACTTCACGCAAGGACGCAAATGCAGAAGCTTCGAGCTTCGCAGACGGGGTTTCGCGCGTAGTTACGTTGAAAAATGTGTTGCGACGCAAGCGCAAGCTGCAATTTGAGTGTTACAGCAAGGGGCGCTAGAACGACAGCCAAGCCTGACCAAGCAGTCTCACACTGCCAGCGTGCAGCAGACGAGCAGTTGAGTCGCACGTAAAAATGGCTACAGAAACATTTCCATTTCAAGAGAAGAGGTAAAGTAGCTCATTCTCCTCTACTGTCCACGTTTAGCTGTTGAGGCTGCTGGAATAACAGTAGAACCCTCTCCAATTTACCCTCTATCATCAGTCCTGCGTGTTTTAACCACCACAGCAACATAATAACGCATAGTGAGTTTGTACAGAAGAACTGAGGCTGCATTTACACTGCTCCAGCGTGTCGACGCACCGCAACGTATCCCGTTCATTTTAAATGGAAAGCGTCGGTTCCGCCAGACGTGGCCGCGCAGTGCATGACGGGTCCGGCGCGTAGAATCTGGGGGATGCAGATTAATCCAGCCAACGCGATACATCTATCCAATCAGAGGATAGTGTTTGCGCGGTAAGTGTTCGCAATGCAATGTATGAAACATTCATACATTTGCTGCTCCTGCTGCATAAACCCAAACTATCTAATTAACCGTTGCTCCACCTGTTTTTCCCCCGTTTTGTATTCTAATATTTTATACTAATGCTGTTTGCTATCCGGTGTCGACCAGAGGAGGATGGGTTCCCCTTTTGAGCCTTGGTTCTCCTCAAGGTTTCTTCCTCTTGCTCTTAAGGAGTTTTTCCTTGCCACTTGTGACCGTGATAAGCACAACATTACAGCACAAGCAGAGCAGGCAAAATAGGCATTTGTGTATTTATTTTTAAAAACATATTTTATTTCTGAACTTCTACATCGTCCAGTAAGTTACAGTATTTTTCATCGTTCAGGGAGTGTTTCCCCCACATATTTGCTCGACAAGTGAGCTGCTTTTAGCCGTTCAGTGTAGTTTTCTCCCCATAACCGCTCCTCTTCCTCAGCCCCTCAGCCAGCACCTCTCTTCTGTAACGTTAGTTCCTAAGGACAGAAAACATCCCTGAGTATAGAATCACACTGATAATTATTTATATACAAAAAGTGCTACTAAGCAGTGAACAGCCAATATTTTAAACTGGACTCTCTCGTTTTGAAGAGCCAGTGTGTTTATGCAGCTAGCCCATTAGCTAAACTAACTAACGTTAGCTTCACCTAATGGGTTACAAACTCAGCCTGTCAGGTCGCATTAGACAAGCGAACTGTCAATTTCCCCACAGGAACAATTTCTAGAGATCTACAAACACAAAGACAGAAGTCAAGAAATAACTTACATTTGTAGACTCCTTGGTAAGCAAAAAAATGTCCGCTTCGTCCGCCATGTTTATTAAACTGAAGTGATGGAACTCTTGGCCAGTTAACAGGTGAACAGTATTGTGGGATTGCCTTAAGTTGAGAAAGATACGAGCAATGCTGCTCAGATTTGGTCAAAATAAGGCTCCTTAGAAGACAACTGGGACAGCCTTTGTCTTGGGAGTGTGCAAATGCTGCCTTAAAATGCAGCCTATTTAGACAACTGCCTCCACATTGAAACCCACCAAAAATGTTGGGTATACCAAAGTTACATTACATTTTATATTGTTTACTTTTTTTTTTTATATTGTTTTATTTAACTTTGTAGAAAAATGCCATGTGGGTTTATTTCTTGTAGAGGATGCCTTAATTTATTTTCACTTTCACTCAGAAAATCAAAAAAAAATGTTAATATATGTGACCAATTTCGGCATATCAAGTATACAGATCATAAAGATGCAGACATTTCTTAGTCATAGTCAAAGTGCATTTATATTAGGAATGCATCAGTGAATTTCTGGGCCAATAATGAGAATCAGTCATTAACACTGAATTGTGCCTGACACTGGTACCTATAACTAGTTGTTTTACTTTTTTGGCTTTTTAAAACAATTTGACTCCTTAAATGAAATACCCTTACGAGAACAGCATTTAAAACTCTTAAGATGACTTGATTACATTTACACCATTCAGAAGTGGAAGTTATTGTAAATATTTACATACTTAGCAATTATTACCCAGGGTAACTTAAAACATAACATCAGGTGTCTTGCTGTATTTTTTGAGCATGTAGGAATGTGTGAAGGGCCCTATGCCTCAGAAGTGCTGAAATTTTTTGAAATTATACATTTGATTAACTTTCCACTTGAAGTTATTACAGACCTCTTATCCATATTGTTTTGGCTATTCATTGCTTTAGGAAGGAGGGGTATTCACATTTGGGGCTGGAGGATATGGCCAACTGGGACACAATACCACAAACCATGAGGTTAACCCCCGGAAGGTTTTTGAACTCATGGGGAATGTAGTTACACAAATTGTGTGTGGTAGGTAGGTAAAACTTACTGACCGATAGTTGCCACTTAGGCCCAATCTCATTTCTTATTTTTACCCCTACCCCTTGTTTTTGAGTGTCACCTTGTGCCTTAGAACTGAGTTACAAGGGGTAGTGGTTGAAATCTTTCTCTACAAAATAGGACAATCCTCAAATAAAAAAGAACATTACTTCATTAACAGACAGCTAGCGGTGTTCTGTAGACAATTCATCTTTTTATGCTTGTTATGCCATGCTTATGGATCATAATACATTGAAACAACATTAACCATTATATTATCTTAGTTTAATGTAATACATACATACATACATAATCTAAACTGCTTATCCTGTGGGGTGCTGGAGCCTATCCCAGCTGTCATTGGGTGAAAGGCAGGATACACCCTGGACAGGTCACCAGTCCGTTGCAGGGCAGACAGACAGACATACATATACAATCACACACACATTCACACCTAGGGGCAATTTAGCATTTCCAATTGGCCTGACTGCATATCTTTGGACTGTGGGAGGAAACCAGAGTACCCGAGGAAACCCACGCACCCAAGTTTAATGTAATGGTAATTTTTTATGGAGAAAATACTTACACTCCGTTTGGAGCGTGTCTCTGAAAAAGCTATGTTTGGAAGGCCACATAGCCCTAACATTTCACCCTACCCCTCTTGCTCAACAAAAATTGGAGCACCCAGTCACAAAAAGTGTGAATGTGCAAAACAGAGGGGTAAGAGCAAAGTGGTGGGGGCAAGAGGTGAAATGGGATTGTGTCTTTCTTTTTTTTTGTAATTTTTCCAAAAGTGTTTTAAAGCCTTAAGAAACCTGTTAACTTCCATATTAGAATCCAGACAAAAGTATGTCTGTTTTGCTTTCAAGTAGAAGTACATGAAGGTACATTGAATGGAAAGTAAATACAGAAATATAGATTAGTTTGATGCTATAACATTAAGATTTAATAGACACAGTAACAGAAGTTAACATTATTAACATGGCTGTATTCTGGGTGCACAAAATGCAGTAAATTGAAACATAATGTGCAGAAGTAAAAGATCAGCCTTTCAATTATTTAGTTTCCGGTCCAAATGGCCATTAAGTTATTAATTTTTCTTATCAGAAAAAAAGCAGAAACTGTATATTCTCCATCACAAAACATCTCAATGCTATGGGTCTGAATGAATATATAGTTGTCAAGAAGCTGTTATTGGCACAAAAAGGGAAAAAAATGAGCTTACACTAAACCTGGACATCTGAGATGTAGCGTAAGGCCACATGCACAGACGAGTCTAAATTTGTAATTGGAATTGCTTTGATCATGTGAAACGGAAAATACAACCAATTTCTAGGACTGAACTTTAGATTTGTAGAAAAAAAAATATCAGCAGATAGATGAAAAACTGAAAGCAGGTCTCGCACATAGAAATGTAAATATAGCTGCAAGCAGTAATTTGCAGGTTCCAAGCACGATGAACCCAATGTTGGCTTATGGGCCAGCTTCTGGTGTTAGAAGGCATATAGCAGACAGTTGGATTTTGGATTTTTCAGAAATATTAGATTTCGTATGATTTAAGATTAATAATAGGTATGTCCATTAAGGTTTATACAAATCCTTCTGTTATCCCAGACGAGGGAATCGGACCCAGCTTGTGGCTTTCATGCTGAGACACAAGCAGCCCATGGAAGCATTGCAATAAGGAAACAGTGAGGAATCAAGCACCATTTGTAGCAGCTTGTTTCACACTTTTAAGTATAGTAATCATTGAGTAATAGAATTAAGAATTAATAAAATATGCACCCTCAGTTTGTCGTTCAGTACATATTTGGTTTCAATTTTGGTTAGTCATCTATAAAATAGTTATAAATCACTCCAATTAAGAAGGATTAAACCAGGTCACGCTGATGTGTTTGAGGCAATTTGGCTATAATGTTATGAAATTGGATTTAAATAAAATTGTTTAACCCTGTATAATTTAGGAACTTTAATTTTAGATTGTTTTCATCTTGGAGAGGCATAATAATGTTTTAGATTGTTGGCACTAGATTTAGCACTGTAGCTGCCAACTAAGGCCAATTCAAGCCAGATTTCAACGTCAGTTTTCAGCTGATTTATTGTGTAGGTACTTATCCTATTTAGTCATAATAAACATTGATGGATTTATAGCTCATTGAGTCAGAATAAGTCAGGCTCAACTGATTTATATTAAACAACTGAAGGAAAAGCAAAATATTTATGGGTGGCAAAATGGTTAAAAACAGAATTGTACAATATATTGATAAACCTGTGGTCTGTACATGTAAGCATGCAGCAGCTTCTCTGGCTCTGCTAAAACTATGCTCAACATCTGAATTTCTTAAGTAATTTGTTTCATATGTGCGTCCTATTCACTCAGATTTCTTGGCTTGGTTCAAGAATGGTGGCTGTATGCCTGTGGTAAAGCTGTCCTTAACACCTCACTTATAAAGTAGATCAAAGATGCAGAACAACGTTTTGTTTCAATCAGACAAGCAGTTGCTGAGGAACAGATTTTTTGGTTATTATAGCGCCCCCTATAATAATTGATGTCAAACTCGATGGGCTTCCTCAAAATCATGTGGGGTATTATTCTCTTAAGTATCATGAGAATTGGCCAAAGCAATCCTGATCTGTAGCCATTTATGTGAATTAACTCATTGAACCCGAAGCCTGCATTTTGTGGGTAACATGCATAACTGTATTTTAGCCTCCATAAGTTTGCAATGGTTTATTTTACAGACATCATACACATATCATCAGCAAACCCTGTCTAGCCAAAGTGTGACAAAGCAGTGAGTAATCCAGCATGAAAAACCACCCAAAATCCACTTGCAATAGTGATATTATCCGTTTGTAGGCTTCATAACTCAAAAACCATTCAACGTACAAACATGATATACAGACCTGCAGAGAAGTATCAGCAAGTAACGCACCTTAAAAAAACATCCAAAATCCAGTCAGTATCCTGATATGATCTCGTTTTCACTCTCCAGAAACGTACTGCATGTGTTTTGTTTCAACACACTTTGTTCCAAGTCTCTGTAGTGCATGTAGTGAGTGATCAAAATACAACAATCCTCAAAACACTAAGAAAAACCAAGAGGTACTCTGTTGACACCATATTTAGACTAACTGGAGCTAAAAACGTGTGCGGCAAAGAAGGGGGGGCTCATGCAGTGACTCATCTGACTGGAATGATGTGAGCATAGATATACATACCTAGATGCCGCATTGCCTGTTGTTCTCAATGGAGGCTATACGTCTGCGCATCCGCCTTGTTGGAGCTGTCAAGATTAGCTTGTGAACAAATTCACTTGTATTGAGAGATGATGAGTTTCAAGATTAAATCGGCCACAACTTCCTTAATACTCAACCAATTTTCACCAAATTTGTTTTGTTATAATCCTCAGACATAGATTAATCTAGGTTGCACAGACTGCTCTCAGTAGCTTTTATTTCTTTAATAACTCATCATGCTAATTAGCCGTCCTGGCCAGCAGAAAGTATTCAGTCTGCATCTGACATTAGAAAATGTGTTTAGCACGAGCTCCGGTAGAAACATCAGCAAATCCAACAATGTGTGAATCACTTCTAATCTTAATACACATAAAAATAAAAGAAACCCCCCAAAACACAGTAAGAAGGACGAAGCTAAAGTTGGCTTCCTATCAACCAGCTTCTTCTTCAAGTTTTCCTGTTCCGCTTTAAATGGTGCAGCAGTCACTTTCTGGTGCCTGAAGCTGCACCATTTAAGGTGGAACTGGAAAATTCGAACAAGAAGCTGGCTGATGCACCATTTAGGGTGGAACGGGAAAATTCAATCATGATGCTGGCTGATGATCATCATAAGGTGGAGAATCGAACAAGAAGCTGGCAAATAAGACGTTGACTTCAGCTTCGTGTAAGGTGCTAAATATCTATACATAATCTATTATAAATATCTACACGGTTTTAAGGAATGCTATAATTTACCTAGCTACAAAGCAATGACCATCAGTGTAAATAAATAACTACTGCATAAAGTTAAGATTCCCTGAATAGACTATTAAATGAAATAAGCTTAATATAAAACCAGAGAAAAAACAAGCACATCAACAGGTTCTCTGTGCCTCACCAACCACCTGGCCATATCTACACATAAACATCACACAAACAATACACATCTCACAAACATGAGCGTGCATCACTGCGTTCCCTCTGTTATATAATCCTTTCCCACTTTCTGAGTGCAATATTCATGAAGTAGCATAATTTTGGACAGTATCTTACTTGAACTGCTGCTTTGTAATGGTACTGAATGCAGTCCAGCAGCGATGTTGACCGCCCTAAAATGGCGGCGCTGTTGATGTGCCTGGCTGGACCCAACGCGGCATCTAGGTATGCATATCTATGGAATGTGAGCAAGTGGCTCTGTTGTCATGGATATTGAGGGGGGAGGGGCTGATAGAGTGCTGTAAGCCAAATAATCAATAAAACTGCTAATCCTTTATTTTCACTCAATTATAAATAATAAAAAAAAAACACAGTGAAAATCATTGCATTTTTAGTTCACAAACACTCAAGTCTAACAAGTCTAACATAATTGGCAAAATATATGTCGTCTACATTTTTATACTTGTCTGCAATATTTCAGGATATGTACACAATATTGGTCGCAGATTGTTCAGGGGAGTCTGGAGGTTAAGAATTATTTGAAAAATTTGGATATTCAGAAACAGTAAAGCCCTTCTGGATTTAGCTTAATTCACGAAAATGAATACAGATCGGGTTTGCTTTGGCCAATTCTCATAAAACTTAGTCTTATATTATTTAATATAATATTCAAAAAACTGTTTCTCAGCAACCACTTGGTCAAATGAGTTGAAACTTTGCATGGTGTAATGTAGGGCTACTTGAGATATTAAGGACATATCCGTATATTGGACAAATATTGTCGCAGTAATCTTTCAAGATGCATTTGGAGGGCTTAGCATTGACCAATCATCACAAAAA